AACAAAATTCTAACTCACAAAAAAAGACCAGACTTACTGGCCTGACAGAGACTGGAGAAACCCCAAGAGTATGGCCCCCGGACACCCTTTTAGCTCAGTAATGAAGTCACTCATAAGGTTCACCCTTCAGTCAAAGGTTAGACAGGCTCATAAAACAAAACGAGACTAAATGGGCACACCAGCCCAGGGGCGAGGACTAGATGGCAGGAGAGGACAGGAAAGCTGGTAATAGAGAACCCAAGATTGAGAAGGGGAGAGTGTTGACATGTCATGGGGTTGGCAACCAATGCCACAAAACAGTATGTGTACTAATTGTCTAATGAGGTGCTGGTTTGTTCTGTAAACCTTCATCTAAAGTACAAGCAAAAAAAAAAGAGAACCCTAGAAGAAAACATATCTGTCCCCATCTAAACAGCCCAGTTGATGAGGGAAAGCTCTTTTTTCTTTCTTTTTTTTTTTAAACAGAAGACATCAGCTAATAGATGTTGGAGAAATGATACATTAAGAAATATTGCCATATTATAGTTTCTAACTAAATAATTGATTAGGGCAAGGATGCTAAAATCATTAGGTAAAAGGGTAATGGGGAACTGAATTTACATGGCATCAAAGAATCAATGTTACTTGCTGGTCACAAGGGGGAAAAATAACTACAATGGAAGCATCAGACTATCACCAGCTTAATGCTGTAATCAATCTTAATATCACTAGTAGTGAGATAATCAGGCATTCAGGGCTCATGATCTGATGCAACATGACATACACACCACCATCCGTGAGGAGTCCTTGTCAAAAATAAACAGCCTTAATCTATTAAACCCTTTTAGATTTGGCTTCCACTTTACAGGAATCAACTTGACGGCAACGAGTTTGGTTTGGTTTATGGTTTCACAGAAAACCTAGGGATTAGAGGGATAAATTAAGTGACATCATGAGGAAACAACAAAATAAATGCAGAAGGTAGGACATCCTACAGGGCAACTGGTCCAACCTTTTTTAATTCATGAAAAAATAAAGGTTGTGAGAGGGACTGCTTAATATTAAAAGAAACCTACCATAATAATCATATATAATATGTGGACTTGGATTGAATTCCCAATCAAAACATTTCAAGGACAAATAGAGAAATTAATTAATTTTGTTAGGCATGATAATGAAATTGTAATTAAGTATGAAAATATCATTTTTTAGAGTTGCATCCTGAAGCATTTAGGGGTAGAATGTCGATGTCTGTATTTTGCTTTAAAATATTTCAACAAAAACAGCAGGTAAAGCAAATATGATTTTTAAAAAAACACTATTAAATTTAGATGATAGGCAATATAAGTGGCTT